AGTTAAATTCACTCTATCTAGGAGGCTCAGTTTATATGGATAGTTTTTATTTTTTACAACAACAAGCTGCAATGAAAACAAGCAGAAATTAAATAAAAGGAACAACTTTATACTTCTTGTCTTTTTAAAAATGTAGAGAGTAGAAAGTACAGATAATTGTGTGAAAATGTAAGAAGTAGAAGTAAAAAGTAGGCTGTAAAATAATTTCTCAAGTAAAGTACAGATACCCCAAAATTAAAGTACAGTAAAGAAGTATTTGTACTTAGTTACTTTACAACTCTGGTATATTTCGAAGTCCAAGAGCTCCTATCTGCTGTAAAATGTGAAACAAATGTTCAGAATAAACTGTCCAGAGAGGATCACAGGCTTCATGTTATGTTTACTCCCATAACATCTTTGCAAGGTTTGACCTTGGTTGTTTGTTTTTAATATGAAAAATAAATGACATTATTAGATAAGTTTAGAGAGACCTTAATTATCATTGAACAGAGCACAATGAAATTCCAGTTCAGAACAGCCATTCAGAAGAAGACAGAACATAAACATAGAACAGGTGCTCTGGATCATGCAGCCACTGACCTGCACAGAGCAAGGTTCATCATCATGAAGACATCATGTGGAGGCGCTACCCTTAACAGAAAAACTAAAAACCACACAAGGGAAGATGAGGAAAAAACAAAACATCATATTATATCAACAAACGTGACACACTATGGTGTTTATAAAAAAACCTCTGTATAGAGCAGATTTATTAGCCAGAGGAGTAAGTGAGTTTAGGGGGTGTGTATCTGAAGCCATAAGTGTTGTATGCTGTGTGAATATCTGAAGAATGAGCCCAAAGAATCCAGTCCCCAAAACCAGCGCAGCCATAGTTCAGAATATGGATGTTAACTGTTCATTCTGTGCAGCCTTCAGCTGGGATTGAGCCTTGTTGACGTAATCCAACCAGGAAGAATCTAGTCAACAGATCAAGGTCGTTGTCGGGGAGATCCAGATCCTGCAATCAGTTGTTTTGGGAACAGAAGAGTCAGGCAGATGATAACAATTTTCCATCTGCTTTAATGTCTGCTGGTGCATCTCAAGGTGGTGAATCCAATCAGACAAATAATGTGGACAATTCCACCGAGCCGGTCTATCAGCTTCTCCCAGATCAATTCCATCTGACCAGCAAAGTCCAGGGACCACAGTCAGCCTGCAACCCTCAATAGAACCGCTTGCAGACCAAGTCCAGCTCGCTCATGGCAACATGTCCGAGTGCTGATAGAACGGCAATCCTTCATATTGGTCAGGCAGCCAGGAGATGAAAAGCCACTGACACTGTTTTGTAGAACACCAGGAGACCACCAAGCCAATCTGTAGAATCCAGTGATCAGAGTCCAGATATATATCCAGAACAGAGAAGAACAGAGGTCCCACCTTTGACATGTCCTCCCATGAAAGATAAAACTTTGTTCCAAAAGTTTTATTGAGAGACCAGCTAACCAAATCCATAAAAATAAAAATATCCATAATTTCTAGTTTCGGATGAAAAATGTAGAGAAGCTCCAAGCAGCAAAGCAGGGAAGATAAGGAAGGGCAGGAGAGAAGGAAGAAGCATCATACTCCTCCGAGAGCAGAACAAAAAAAAGTTATTATATGATATTATTAAACTGGTGATAAAAAAGAAACACTGTGGTAAAAAATTACGTTTCAGTTACTTAGGAATGTGCCTTGTTTCTTATATGGCAGCACTATAAATGTTAATATTTTTTTAAGAAAAAGCTCTGACAGAGATTTTGTTCTGCCAACAGTTGGAAACCTCCCGTCTCCCTCCACAGCTAACCTGGCCACACTGCAGTCCTACAGGCCCATTCTGAGTGAATATGGACCTCCATCTCTAGGATTCTCACAGGTAACCTTGTTAAATTTAAACAATCTTTAAACATGGCTGAAAATATCACTGGGTAATTTATTCATATAACGTTAAGATATATACAATGCTATGAAAACGTAGTTGCCCTTTTACAGATTTGTTGTTTTTTCATTTTTGGCACACAACGTGTGCAAACACGCCAAGATATGATTTTATGAGGAAAAACCTACCGGATAACTTCACCCTGGCACCAACAAATTCCCATAAAGCTGCCATTTTTCAGTAATCACTTGGTGAAGGGTCGTATGAAATGAGTAAGGGGTCTCTGCAATAGGTTTTGTCCTGTGGGCGGAGATGGCCCAAGAGACATGATTGGTCAGATTGACAGTGCGGTTTGAGGAGGCTGGAGGCAGCGGGGAGTAGCTTGATCGAGTCGGGCAGGAAGCAACGTTTTTTAAGATTAAGTTTAGTCATAACTTGAGAAAGGAAAGTGCTAGCTGCACGAAATTTGAATGTCATACATGTGAAAGGATGTGTAAAAAGATCACTAAAAATAAAAAATTTACAGGCTGGTTAGGGTTGTTTTAACCAAGTAAGTAAGTAAGTAAGTAAGTAAGTAAAGTTTTATTTATATAGCGCCTTTCACAGAAATAAATTCACATGGTGCTGTACATTCATGGAAGGGGGAGGAGGAAGTTAAGACAGGTCATGGAGCAAAACACGGCTGCGCTACCTTAACAACAGAACAACAGAACAACAGAAAAACTAAAACCCACATAATGAAAGATGAGGAAAAAAGCAAAAACATCATATTATATCAACACTGTGACACACTATGGTGTTTATCAAAAAAACCTCTGCATAGGGCAGATTTATTAGCCAGAGGCATAAGTGAGATTAGGGGGGTCCGAAGAATACAGTCCCCTAAACCAGCGCAGCCAAAGTTCAGAATATTGATGGAACTGTTCATTCTGTGAGCCCCCAGCCTGCTCAGGAATCAGATTAAACGGGTGAGAGAGGAGGGGGAAGGTGTGGGGCAGAGCCTCGTCGACGTAATCCAGCCAGGAAGGATTTAGTCAACAGATCAAGGCCGTTGTCTGGGAGATCCAGATTCTGTAATCAGTTGTTTTGGGAACAGAAGAGTCAGGCAGATGATAACAATTTTCCATCTGCTTTACTGTCTACTGGAAGTCTCAAGGTGGTGAATCCAATCAGACAAATAATGTGGACAAATTCCACCGAGCTGATCTATCAGCTTCTCCAAGATGAATTCCATTTGGCCAGCAAAGACCAGGGACCACAGCCGGCCCTCGACCCTCAATAGAACCGCTTGCAGACCGAGTCCAGCTCGCTCATGGCAACATGTCCGAGTGCTAATAGAATCCGGCCACCCATTCAGTTGGTCAGGCAGCCAGAAAATGAAAAGCCACCGACTCTGTTTTGTATAACACCAGGAGACCACCAAGCCAATCTGTAGAATCCAGTGATCAGAGTCCAGATATATATCCAGAACAGAGAAGAACAGAGGTCCCACCTTTGACATGTCCTCCCATGAAAGATAAAACTTTGTTCCAAAAGTTTTATTGAGAGACCAGCTAACCAAATCCATAAAAATAAAAATATCCATAATTTCTAGTTTTGGATGAAAAATGTAGAGAAGCCTCCAAGCAGCAAAGCAGGGAGGGAAGGGCAGGAGAAAAGGAAAATGCATCTTACTCCTCTGAAACCAAGCCATATTGTTACACATCCTTTCACATGTACGATGTTCAAATTTCGTGCAGCTAGCACGTTCCTTTCTCAAGTTATGACTAAAATTAATCTAAAAAAACATGTTGCTTCCTGCCCGACTCGACCAAGCTACTCCTCGCTGCCTCCAGCTTCCTACCCCACCGTCAATCTGACCAATCACATCTCTTGGGCCATCTCTGCCCACATCAAGACTTCCGCCAATCACGAGCAGGGCCGTCTCCACCCACATTAAAACCTGGGCCAATGACGATTCGGGCCATCTCCGCCCACAGGACAACACGTTCTGCAGAGACCCCTACTTGTATAAAATTGGACAGTTTGACAGAACTCAAATTATCTTGAAAGTGTTAGCTAACTGCAGTGTGTAATATACTCTCAGCTCATTGGTCAGTCAATGAAACCCTCACTGATTGGTTGTACGCCAAGCGACAGCAACAAAAGTTGAACATTTTTCAAGTTTCTTATGTCACGTTGCAAGCTTGCGTGTGCACATCTCTGTGTACGAGCGCGAAATTTCACATGCTCGAGTTTTGCCAATCGCTTCGCTGGAGGTAACACATTCTCACTCCCAACTCGTCAACATATTGACACTTTTCCAAAGTTCCCTCTGTGTCTTATTTTGATGTGTCGGGTAACCCCCTCGCATCAGTCCTTGCCGCCCGCGGCTTCTCTGGGTTGCGCCACCAGGGGTCTTTTGGGTCGGGGGTCTGAGGTTAACGTGAGGGATCAGGATAAATGGTGTAAGAGATGAGTTATTTATGCAAATAACTTACCTTACATCTTCTCATAACAAAGTTAGGAGAGTAAATTTTTACCAAGGTTTTCCTCATTACTTTAATATTTGTCTGTGCAAAG